ATTCTGGGAGTTGAAGTCCACCCATCTTAAAGTTGCTGAGGTTGAGAAACACTGTTCTAAAACATCTGGAAGGCCTGCTCTTTAATCAGTTACGCTTAAGGACTATAATATTCCCAGCTGCAGGGGGCAATTTGCATGAAAAAAAACCCCAACGTGATCTTTTGGCGTGAGATTTATGGAATAACAGATGGTAACTTTCTGGATAGCAGCCTTTATCAGTATCCAGAGACGCATAAGGCTATTTGCACACTCCAGGGAACGTCCAAATAAAACACAGAACAATGCATATTTTGGATCTGTGCAGCCTGTGTTGGTTCAGTGTCCCAATCAGGAGTGCCTAAATATTTCTGCTGCAAACGGAAAGAAAGGACGTGAAGCAGCAGGTGTTTTCCCCTCGAATTGCACGGAGAAGAAAAATCTTCCCAGCGCAATGCAAAGAGAGAGAGAGAGAGAGAGAGGAGGCACTAACGCAACCCTGAGATTCGGACGTCCCTGGAAATGAAACCCTGGAGTATGAACGAACAAAATATTGCGAATGCCATTTGTTGCAAGAAGGTAGGAGAACGCTGCACTGAATTAGAAGGGGTGTGCCCCTGTGGGCTGACCCCTGAAATAATAGAGGGTATCTGGAGGTGGAAAGTTCTTAGGGACTAGCGCCTTGGGGAGGCATTGTTTGAAAGTCGACATAAACGGCGCCAGGATTGTGTTCCGCTGCTGTACGGATTTAGTAATCAGCTTCTCTTCCTAACATTTCTTTTCTCTTTAGCATTTCTCTCTCGCTTTGGAGTACACGCCTTTTACGTTTACCTGCCGATACGGAGGAGGCAGGGAGAAGGGGAAGAGGTTCCAGCAGCTCCAAGATGGATCCCTGGGGGGAATCCAAGCCGTGGTGCAACTGGCTCTCTTGAATATTAAATTGAGGGTTAAGCAGAACTTCTAATTCAGTTCTGGATCTTTCCCAGCTGATCTTCCAGCTGCCAGGAGCCAGGGACAAAGGCCTCCCCTCCAATCTGGGGTCTAAAGGGGGTCCAAGCCATGTGGCTTTCTGGTTTTCGCAACGGGAATCGCACTAACCTAGATGGGTTAACGCAGAGACACACCACACACTTCTGAAGCAAGCTGCCACAGGCAATTTCAGTAACCACAAACAGACGAAGACTTGAAATCTCAGCAATGCAGTGGCCACGGGTGCCAAAGTTATACATACCCTTGGCCAAAAATGGGGGGGGGGAAGGTCTTAAACCTAGGCCAAGGAATCTAAGTTCGGTGCCAAGGAAGCAGAAATGTGGCACTCCAAATAAATTAGAGCAGGCAAGCAAAGTTTCACCCCGTTCCTTACAACGCGGAATGCCTTCCCGCCAAGGTTTGGCAGCGTCGGACTCCTCTTTGGCAAAGCCAGGAGGAGCCATCAGAGGAGCATAAACACAGCAGCGAGGCCCAGAACCCCTCCCTGACCTACTCGCGGCTCGTCCGCAAACCTTCGGAGCCCGGTCACCCAGCAAACTACCCTTCGGACCTCTGTGTCCTTCTGTGCGGACCCTCTGCAAAAACAGCCCAGAAGTAAGCAACGTTTTAACCCCCTTTCTTTACACGGGAGCATCTTCGGGTCATTCGAATCATGCTCAGAACAGGGATGCTGGAAGGAACATCCAGATTCTCGTTTGAGCAGAACCACCAGCAGCTAACTCAGCGGGGCTCCACCACTGCAAAGGGGGCAACTGTGCCGGAAAAGGGGCATTTATTGGCCAACAAAAACAGGTTCCCCCATACATTTTCACCCCTGCTTCATGCAGGTTTAATACCCAGGGTGCATATCCAAGTATGTTGGCCATGGACTCGTGCCAGAGGTACTGACAGCTCCTGTGGGTGTGAAAGTGCCCATCCAGCAAGAGATATTTCAGGGGCATCATATTAAAGTCTTGAAGTATTAGCCCCCCCCCGGTGATATTATGACACATCACGTGATAGGGTACCCAAGGGGTCTAGCTCTGTTAGAACAAAATGGTAGAAAATCACATTACAGGTAGTCCTCATTTAACAACCATTCATTTACTGACCGTTTGAAGTTACAGTGGTGCTGAACAAAGGAACTTGCAACCAGTCCTCGCACTTACAACTGTCGCAGCACCCCCACGGTCACGTGATCGCAAACTGGGTGCTTGGCAACCAGCTTGCACTTATGACGGTTGGAGCGTCCCAAGGTCACATGATTGCTATTTGCAACCTTCCCAGCTGGCTTCTGGCAAGCAAAATCAATGTGATTTGCTTAATGACCGTTGCAAAAAAGATCATAAAATCGGGCTTGACTCGCTTAACAACCATCCCACTTAACAATGAATTTTCTGGTCCCTATTGTGCTCACTAAGCGAGGACTCTCTGTACTTTGCTTCGGGAAGTGGAAGCCTTCTTTCTAAAGTGAACAGGGTAATATCCACAATGAAAGCTGTGCTAATTTGGGGCAGGCATCTCACCTATCATCTCAAGCACCCAGACTTGAAAGGTGACCAGTCCCATCAGTGAGAATTCCTCCTCCTAGTTCAGAAGATATTCTCTGACCTCAAGGCAACCTTTTGGGGTCAGAAGACCTCTTCTTGTGGCTTCACCTCACCCTCCACGCCCAGCATCTGGGTCTCATGGCCACCAAACACAGCTTGCCGCACAGGACAAAGAAGGTATGGAGGAAAAGAATGGGGGGTGGACCGGAAGAAGGCCCCAAGGTCTCTTCCCACCCTACGATTCTAGGAATAGCCTAGGAAAGGGCACAGGCTGGTGGCTGGCATCTTGAACAAGAACATTCTGGAACTACAAGACGGTGACATGTCCCTGATGGGGCTGCAGATTCTCTCCAAGAGGAGGAAGAGCATCGAACGAATAATCAATATGCTATTTATCGTCAGATAAGGTGCATGCGGGCGAGGTGACTTTCCCAAGGGAAGTCCACCGTTTCTCGCAACAGCTCACTACCCGCAGGGCTTTTTAAAATCTAAGCCATCTTTGGCCATCATCTGGTGCCGGGGGAGAATGTGCTGGGGCAGCTAAAACAAAGCGCGCACCCTGGCCACCACCACTGATTTCCGGCCGCTCCAGAATCAGGCACAGAACGTTTTCCTTGCTTTGCGTCTGAGTCAGCCTGCACGGGATTTATTGGCCCCCGGTCCAAAGACGGCAGCTTGGAAAGGAAGCGAATAATGAATCACTCACAACCACCACTTCTCTTCTGCACCCGGTGGGAGCTAAAACTGGTGCAGCGAGGGGCGCATGGCCCTCCCTAAGTCTGCCGCTCACCTAAGAAGGTTCCAAGAAGTGTGCAAATCCAGAGGGTATTCACACAAGATGCTCAACCCAGTCGGGTAAAAATCCAGCAGATTCTTAGCTTGGTTAGTGTGAGTCTTGGCTAGCTTTTTCAAGTGGGTGGGTGGCTTCTGTGTGATAAAAACCGAGCCCACTGGGCTAGCTGATGGTGCAAACCTAGAACCCGGGTTCCTTCGATACGCAGGAAGTGAATGTACTACATGGAGTGACTGTTGCTGATTCTGTTTTCTCCTAGTTTGTTTTGAGAGAGAAAGATTAGCAAGTTTCAGCCAGCCAACAGAGAGATGAAAAACTGCCAGGACCTCATTTTTCCCAAGGAAAGCCTGCCATAAAGACAAATTAAAGAAATCACAAGGCCTCCCAATTTTTTAATCTTACCACCGCAACAAGGAAGGTTCGCGCTCTGGATTTTTGGGAAGCGCTGTTTTTTCTGAATTTAGAAATCCACTGAATTTAGCTCCTCCCTTCAAGGGTGCAGCTCTGATTAACTCCAGGGAAGCCAACTGGTTCCCATGCAGACCAAGGGGTGTCAAAACAACACAACGACCTCCACTCACCCACAACATTTTGACCTGCCCATACCTAAACTCACAGACACTTGTAACCAGCGTGGTCAAGAGCTAACAGATTCATTTGCTCAACGTAACAAGCTTGACTAGGGTTCACCCTAGTCGGTTGGTTTGCAATTTAACATGTTAGGTGACTCCACCCAATTAATTAGTTTATGATAAAACACAGTATGCAAACTGTGAAGTCCTTGGAGTTCTCTGAGCTGGGTTGTTTTCTTGTAGACGTTTCATTACCTGACTAGGTAACATCATCAGTGCTAGTGAGTGTGGGGTCTGCTCCCTGTTAATATACAGTTGCTTCCCCTGCCAGTGTTGGTGGGGTGTTGTTTTCTCCTTGTAGTTCCTTGATTAGGGTATTGTTTTCTGCCTGATCGTTTGTCTGGCATTAATCCACGCTTATCTGGGTGTTGGCTGCTGGAGGAGATGTGTTCTGGACTTTCT